CCGGCTGCTCGCGCAGCTGCGGCGCGGGCGTGCAGAGCGCCGAGAGGCAGTGCAGCAGCCCCACGTAAGCGAGCGCTTGCTCCCCCCAGAGCAACCCCGGACCCCCTTTTAGGCGAGGAATCCAACGTTTCTGTAAAGCTGGGGACCATTACCTGACCAGCCTGGTCCTAGCCCTGCTTGCATCACACGGCGAAATTGTGCCGTTGTGAAGTTCTTGGTATGAACAGTGTGTTTTGAAGCACTTGGGAGGGTTCATTTCTTGGGGTTATCCGGCCAGCTGGGCAGCAGGAGCCTCTGGAGAGACACAGTTTGCTCTGTCCTTCCATGGGCAAGTCACTCCCTGCAATGTGGCTCAAAGAGCAAAGACTCTGCGCTTGTAGGTCTAAAACTTATCCAGTGTCCTTTTAACGACAGAACAGTAAAATAGGTGTTGAGCCTGATTCAGAGTTGGTTTAGAATCAGGGAATCAGCTGGGTTGGAAAAGACCTTTAAGATCAAGTCCAACCGTTAACCCAGCACTGCCAGCTCCACCCCCAGGCCATGTCACTTAAGCACTACAACTCTACCTTTTAAAAAATCTGCTGTTTACCGCCCCACGGCTTTCTGTGAGCAATTTCTGCTCCGTGCCCAGCCAGAGGCTGCCTCGCTGTCCCTGCAGTCGGCTCTGGCTCTCACTGGGAAGCACCCAGGCACTGACAGAGGAGCAGCCTTGTCCATCCGTGGATTTCTGGGCTGACCTGTCTGCTCCCCAGATGTCCCCTTGGTCACCCAGTGACGGTAGCGTTTGATTCACCCAGAGCCCCCGACTTGCCCCGTTGCCAGAGCACCCTGGGATGGGAGAGAAAAGGGCTTTGTGAGCAGCGTTGCAGTGACGGTCACTTTGCAATGGCTTGAGGAGGTCCAGAAGCCGTGGGAGCAGCTGACGAGCCCAGATGTGCTCTGCTGCCCAGCTTCTTCCTTGGGTGCGTTGTTTCCAGCACTTGCTGTTGAGCTGTTCGGTGAAGCGCAGTGTAATCTCAGTCCCGGGTCAAGAGCTGGGTTTGTGTTTGACATGAGTTTTGTGGCAGAAGTGCAATTGTAGTTTATGGAGTGTTTTAAACACAGCTGCGGGCAGGCAGGAGAGCAAACACTGGGAAAGCAGCAGAATTTCCCCGGACAGTTGTTTGCTTTGGCCACCGTAGGTAAACCTTTGGTTTTGCCTTTTGGATGGAGTGAGCAAATGTGTGCGCTGGGCAGTCCTCCTCCCGCAGGCATTTCCTCGGGGCAGGGCGTGTAAACACAACCTTGAAATAATAATTAACTTTTTTTCCCCTTCAGCAAAGTGTGCCCAGACTTAACCAATGAAGGGAAAAGTAATTTTTGTTGTGAGGTTATGGAGATGTGGGCCGTGGAGAGTGAGCAAAGGGAAGGGCAAGCGTCAGGAGACAGTGGAAGTACTTTGAGAGTATGAGAAAAACCGATTGTTGCTTTTAAAGTCCCTCGTACTTGACAAGGTCTGGCAGCAGCTTTGCCACTCCCAGGATGGTAAAGGAGGTGTTTCACCCCCGCAGAAAGGTGCCCGGCTGCGGCTGCAGGAGTTTGGGGAGCTTCACATGGGAACGTTGCCAGTAACACCTCGCTTTAATAACTGCCTTTGTAGCATCGTACCCCAGACCTATAAAATTGGCCGTATTTCCAACATTAAGGAGGGACTGCCAAGGGAGGCGAGACCCAAGATGCGATTCATCCAGCTTGAGAGCCATCACGCACCAAAGGCTGCCTTTGGTCCATGGTCTCACCCTGCGTGGTCCCACGGCACAGCCCCAGCAGCAGCAGCAGGGAGCTGGTCCAGGAGGGGCTTGGAGAAGAAGGACATGGGCCAGGGTTTCCATGCATTTCAGAAGGAGTGGGGAGCCTTCTGGGGTGGAGGTTCATGGCCAGCTTCCTTACAGGAGCGCTGCAGCAGAGCTGTGTGCGGGTTAGAACTGGGAGAGCTCCCCGGTGACTCTCCAGGTGGATTCTGGCTTGACCCAACCTCATGAGATCACACCCTCAGCAGCAGGTACAGACCCACCCTCCCTTAGCTCTGCGTAAAAAGGGAGTTTCCCCTTGTATGTGGTAGATCTTTATTTGATAGGACAGGAGTAACAGTTTTAAACTGAAGGAGGGTAGATTTAGGAATAACTTTTTTTACAGCAGTGGAACAGGTAACCTGGAGAACTTGTGGATGCTCCATCCCTGGGAGTGTTCAAGGTCAGGCTGGACGGGGCTTTGAGCCACCTGACCTAGTGGAAGACTCCCCTGGCAGTGGAGGTGGACTGGGTGATCTTTAAGGTCTCTTCTGACCCAAACTTTCTTTTTCCCTCCCACGGACAGGCCGAAGTACGGGGGCAGGTACTGCCTGGGGGAGCGGAAGCGGTTCCGAATTTGCAACGTCAGGCCGTGTCCCCCCGACAAGCCCAGCTTCCGCCAGGTCCAGTGCAGCCAGTTCAACCCCATGCTCTACAAAGGGAAACTCTACAAGTGGACACCGGTGCCCAACAACAGTGAGTCAAGGGCAAAGCCTGCGGCCGGCTTTCTGCCTGCAGCCCCGATGAAAAACTCGAAGCACAGCCTTGCTAGGCTCGGTTTGTGTCTGTAAGGTTTGCCTTGCAGCTGTATTTTAAACTGCAGCTGGGCTTGCGGGGTCAGTTTATGCTTTCAGAGGCGATTATGTCGTTTAGTCTGTGGTTTAGTTTCTGCCTGTTGGGTTCCGCAGTTAACCCCTGCGAGCTGCACTGCCGGCCGGAGGACGAGTACTTCGCGGAAAAGCTGCGGGACGCCGTCATCGATGGGACGCCCTGCTACGAGATGAACGCCAGCCGCGACATGTGCATCAACGGCATCTGCAAGGTGAGCCCCACGCCAGGACCCCCCTCATGCCGGGACCCAGCCCTTAGGTGTGCCCTGTGCCCGCTCTCACACCCACCGACGGGCTGAGCTTGCTCGTTTTCTCATTCACCGCTTGGAAAGCTTTGCTTCTTTCCATGGAGCGTGTGGCATGGATGGATTTCAGCTTCCCTCAAGGGAGCACAAACCTACAAACCTACAGAAATAAAGAAAGGATAGTTTCACTTAAAAATAAGGTGCACAGAGAGGATGCCGAGCATCCCGAGTGTGCCCGCAGGTCTGCCCTACAGCAATAGGACACTGAAATTCTGTTAAATTAGGAGGTGGGTGGCAACCTGAGCTGCTGCAATACCGTGGTCTGCTGGACAGGTTCCCACCATGGGACTTACCACAGGCACCCTGCTGCAACGCTGGGGGGACACAGGAGGGACACGCTCGCGGCCGTAGTGTTAGGTAAAGGTGCTCTCTGAAAGGCTTTCTAGAAAAATGGGATTTTGGGAAAAAGAAGACTTTTTGGACAACACCCTTGTCTACGCTGGGTCAACAGCAGAGCTCTGCCATGCTCCCTGCAGACTGTCGCGATAGGTAAAGCAGAGACAGACTATCGTGATAGCTAAAGCAGAGCTGGTTCTGCCGTAGGCGTGTGCCCAGGGTGCCCGGGCAGCTCCTCGCTGGCACAGGACCCAGCGGGGACACTCTGGGGTCTTGACTGTGGCTTTTCTGCTGCGGCATCAGGAGGAGGCTCTTGCTCCGCACAGGTCGAGCAATTTGGCACAAAGCCTCGGGAGTTTCAGCAGAATGTAAGTGGAGGGTTTGGGGCAACGTTTTGAAACAGGACTAGCAGGGCCCAGGACTGAGGGGCTGTCCCAGCTCGGCTCGGGGCTTAATGTGTGCCCGCGGGCTCGGTTGGGGAAACGGAACAACGAGATGTGGGTTGTGATCCTCACTGCCTACGAAGGGGACGCAGGACCCGGAGGACGAGTTGGAGACACCCGATGTGGCTGTATTGCCGTGCACCCTGCAAGAACACCCCCTCGCCCCTCTCTCCCCCCACTTTCCTTATTTCCCACCATTTAGGACAGAGGCAGGTCCTCCTCTTCCTCTCCCCTCCCCCATGTTGAGGTGTTGCGGGGGGGGGGGCGCGG